AGGAGGAGGAGGAGGGGGAGGGGGAGGAGGAGGCCGATCGTGCTTGTCATCCAGCCCGGGCCCGGAGCTGGAGCCCCCCAGTGCGGCCTGGCCTCTGCCAAGCAGGGACGTGTTCCCCTAAAGCAGTGTGGAAAAACCTCCCGGTATGGGTTTATTTTGCCCTCGCTCAGCCTCTGATTTCCGTGCACGTCTGGCAACAGCTCACCAGTTGGTTTGTGTGCCTGTATTACAGCTGTAATTATCTAAGAGCTGTTTTTTTTATTAGTGTGGACATGGATGGTAACGCCGGGATATCTACAGGACAGGTCAGGCTTGGGCCCGTCCTGCCAGGCCGGCGACGAGGGAACAAAAACCCCGAGCCCAAACCCCCGAGCCAAAGGCTGGCGGAGCAGGCCGAGCCCTGGCTCCGCATGTCAGCAGCTTCGCTGGGGTTTTGCTGTTCCAGCCCGGGAACACGCTCTGCCCAGAGACTGGATGTCACTTGCTGCCTGACCTTAACGTTAGGGAGAAAATCCTGTCACGGCAAAAACACAAACAAGGCGGAATCGCTCAGCTACAAGCAAGCCTTTAATGAATTTGGCCTCTCGTTAAAAGGTGTTTTTTCTTAGCTCCACAGCAGTTCGTCGGCCATGGAGATATTGGCAACCTGCGGCAGGCTCTGATAGACCGAGTTCCAGAAGTTCACGTACCGGGATCTCAGGTTCTGCTTCACGGAGTCCTTGTTTATCTTGTTGTTGATTTCCAGGTAGTAAGCGCTCTCACTGCTGTAGGGTGGCCAGTTAACTGGCACCTTGGAATTCCCTTTGTTGGGATCACTGAGGGAAAAGGAGACATAGAAGTTCAGTTTTATCAGGGCGGCTTGTAGATGCAGCAAGGTTTGTGGCGTTTGGCAGAGACCCCATCTGCTCAAGTGAGGCTTTAAGGGAATCCAAAGAGAGAGTTTGACACTGCGAGGAGCAGTAGCAATTCTGCCTGCTAGGAGCAACTTGCCAACCTGCAGTCTACTCCCTTGGTATCCCCCCCCAGCATTGTCCCTGGCTGCACACAGGGGCTTAACTCTTGTCTGAATACCAGGATTCAGAAGCAAACATTATTAAGTTTAAGCAGTTTACAAGTTCTGAAAATGCTTTTGCTGTCCCCAGGTGTTCTCTGGATGAGGAGGACTCAGCAAACTCCACCACTGGGAGACACAGAGCCAGACTCACAACAGAAATACAGACAGAGGACATCCTGCTTTTGGGAATTGCTCCTGCGAAGTTAATAGGCAAAAGCAGCAGGTTGAAGTGCTGCAGCAAGCCCCAAATGTGGAACTGGAATCACTCACCCTGTCCTAGCAAAGTTGGTCCAGTAAGCAATCATGGCACTTGAGACAGTCCTGTGCTTGGGCAGGTAGCCCAGGGGGGTGGCGAAGGGTTTCCCAAACACGTACTGCAGGTCGTCAGCATGGTCTGCCCCCACCCAGCTTGGGTAGATGGGCATTCGGGATGGCTGGGAGAACAAGTAGCTGTATGTCTTGGCATTTCTGGGGAAATAAAATAGATTTGCTAAGCAGCTGCAAGTGGAAAGCAGAGAAAGCGGTGCAGGGTCATAACCACCCACCAAATACCAGCAGAGCCAGAGATTCAGCCTTGGGAGATGCTCACATGCATCTAAGAGGTGGTCTCAGGAGAAATCATCCTTGTGTCCAGTAATTCTTAAGCCCCATTTCTGATTTTCACCCTAACCCTCATATCATCTAACTGCCATGTCTCATGGCATCATACGTTGCTAGGATGAAGTTGGAAGTTTTTAGGAGGCAAAAACTTGTTTGAATGGGAATTTAATATGATTTCCTAGCATGACTCCCATGCAGCATTAGAGAAATAGTGTTTGTACAAGCTGTGTGTAAGTGTGTACTCCGTACCAAAAAGCCTGCCTCCTTCAAGTTCAGCCCTCTTAACCCAATCCTCAGCCCCTTGTGCTGGAAACGCATTGTTTCAGCCCCAAGGCAGGCACTGGGCTCCTGCCAGGGCTGAGCTGCTCACCGGGCGTTCTGCAGGTGCAGGTTCAGTGCCCACTGTGTGGGAACCAGGAAGATGTAGTCAGTAATCACGTCCACCACTGTCTTCTTCATGGTCTCCTGATCTGGTTTCTCACCCCACACTTGCGTGTAGATATTGTATGTTGCATTGGCTCCACGCTCACCCCTGTCTACAGTAAGTCCTTTCAACAAATTATAGACCTCTTCCCTGAAAAGACAAGTAGTATCAACTAATTACAGACCAGCAGCTTCAAGTGGGGCAGGGCCCCTGGAAATGGATCCCAGCTCCCATTGATGTTCACATCCAACCCTGTAGCTAGCAACAGTTTAGTGGAGTAAAAGCCAGTGATTTCATTCCAGGTCTTAGACAGTGGGCAAGTGCTTCCCAGCTTTCTCAGCAGAAGAGCTTGGGGACAAATTGGCCACAAGCTCCTTCTGTCCACAAAGAGGAGTCTCATGGGGTGGGTGCCCAGCATGTCTGGCATGTACCTGCTCTGGACAGAGAGCATCAGGGCTGCCAAACCTACCGCTGGTGCTGAGTTCAGGAGCACCTTAGAATCACAGAATCATAGAATCTTCTAGGTTGGAAAGGACCCTGGAGATCATCTAGTCCACCCGTTCGCCTAGCACAGTTCCCACCTACAGCATATCCTTAAGCTCTAAATCGACCTTACTCTTGAACACCTCCAGGGATGGGGACTCCACCACCTCCCTGGGCAGCCCATTCCAACGCCTAACAACCCGTTCTGTAAAGAAATGCTTCCTAATAGCTAGTCTGAACTTTCCCTGGCGCAACTTGAGGTATATGGGTAGGCTTCCCCACTAGCTGGTCCTTTCTCTTGAAGGCTCTGGGCTTGGCAACATATTCCCTAGGCATCCTGGCTTAGAGTGACATCCTGTTTTGAAGGTAGTGCCCTGTCACTCAAGTCTAAGCCCTTGATGTTTGAGGACTACATAAGGTTCCTCCTCTTAAAGGTTTTAAGGGCATCACTTACGCAGTGATTTTTACAAGTGGGCGGTTGATAGCAGGTAAATCAATGCCAGCAAAGAAGTGTCCATCCATGTTATTGATCCCAGCAATGTAGTCAATGTCAGCAGCATTGGCAAAGAGTTTCTCGGGCATGTCTGGGAGGAAGTCTCCATCGATGACAGGAGTGAGGGCAAGTGTGTGAACCAGGGGAGCTGCAGCAGGAGACAAAACCAGAGTCTGTAGGAGCTGAGAAAAAACAGATGTGTGGCCTGGCATACCCCATGGCTCAAGGAACTGTGGAAGCAATAGGCTGAGGTGAATGAGAGTTTGGGTGGTGACTCCAGCATGACCACAGGATCACATTCAGTAAATCTCATGCCTGTAGGTGGGGGAGAGGAACAAGAGATCTGCCAGTCGAGTACCAGCAGGTAACATCAACAATTCCCCTCCTCCTTCCCCCAGCCCCTGCCCAAAAAGCCCAGCCAAAGGTAGGGAAGAGCAGCCTTCTCCTCCCCACCCCATCTGGCTGCACTCACTCATTGCCAGGCCAGCCGGCTCCAGCCAGTGCAGCTGTGCAGCCTTGGCCGCTCTGTCCTGAGCAGGGCTAAGCGCTGGGGCCATTTATAGGAGCATGAGGAGACCAAGCAGAGGAGAGTCTTCCTGGGAAAGAAATCCTCCCAGGCAGCAAAAGCTGAAGCATGCCCTACCTGGTGTGAGAGTCCCACACTCCACCCAGCGACTCAAATTAAAATAGCAGGGTTGTGGTCAATTATTATTTTTGTTTGTAAGCTGCGTTCTGGAATTTCTCTTGCTGCTTTCACAAGACAGAACCCCAAGGGCTTGCTCTGGGGCCAAGGCATGGCCCCTGGGTAATTCCTCTGCCACTGCTGCCATTGCATGATGGACAGTGTTCATTCAGCACAATGTGCACCTGCCTGCAGAAGTGGGACTGACAGATCTGTCATTGTTGTCCCCTTTCTGAAGGACACAAGCACTGCTTCAACACTCCTGGCAATCGCCCCAGTGTCCCGCCAAAGGCATGGTGAGCCCTGGGTGGGTGGTGGGCCACAGCACGGGCCGGGGGACTTACAGGGCAGGTTAATCAGCTCCAGGTGGTAGGCCAGTGTCACGGCTTTGGGGTCGGAGATGCGCAGGCAGTGGGCCAAGGTGGTGGTGTTGTCTGTGGGGCAGCCCACATTTTGTGCAATCTGCAGGAGGAGAGAGAGAGAAATCTAGCATTACCTTCTAAAGCCAGGCTTCACTACCGGTGTGATCGAGGCAGAAGAGTGGTTGGTTTTACTCTCAAAGCAGCATGTTTCCAAAGCTCTGTTTGGCAGCACGGTGCCTGCTGAATCCCTTGCTAGCTATGCTCTTCTTTAGGGAATCACTTTTGTGGTTTTTCCATTCCCTCAGGCAAGACTTGCATGTTACCTTTTTAGCCCAGGCAAGAGGGTCCTTCTGGATGGCCCAGCTGCAGAGACCGACACCACTCTGGCTGATGGCTCTCTTGAACAGGCCCTTGTTCTTCGGGGACAACATCTGGGGTGCAAAATAGAAACAAGAGAGTTTCAGGTACAAACTCCTGAACAGACTGTCGCCTGCCAGCTCTTGTGCTATTTCACAGTCTCAGTTAAATTTAGAAGGTGATACTGTGAGAAGCGGAGCAGAGCAGGGGGACACGTCAAGTAAATACAATTTCACCAGAGGTCCCAAAAGCGAGGAAGGTGCCTGCAGAAGTGGGGCTGATTAAACTGAAGAAGGAGGAGCAGCTACAAAGCAAAGAGGCTGAGCATTGCTGTCCCTGAGCAGGGAAGGATGTTAATCACGCGACATGTGGAGGAAAGCAGTGGAGTGCCAAGGGGACCATCTCTCCTGTTTACAGAGAAGTGGTGGCTCTGGTGGGGTCCAACAAGGACAACACACCTGCAGGGAGACACTGACAGCACCGGCTGATTCCCCAAAGATGGTGATGTTTTCTGGGTCACCCCCAAAGGCCTTGATATTCCTCTTCACCCAGGCAATAGCCATGTGCTGGTCCTTCATCCCATAGTTCCCTGAGTGACAGAGACAACCCACTGTTGAGCGAGGGCACAGCAAAGCTGATGAGCTGGGGACCCGCGACAGGGTCCCCTGGAGAGGGAGCAGCTCTGGTACCTGGCAAGCTTGCATCTCCGGTGCTCAGGAAGCCCAGGGGCCCCAGGCGATAGTTGATGGTCACCACGATCACGTTGCCCCGCACGGCGATCTCCTCACCATCATAGAGGTAGTTATTGAGGAAGTTGGCTCCCTGGCTCCCTCCTACAAGGAAGGCGCCACCGTAGATCCAGACCATCACTGGCAGGTTGGTAGAGACTGGGAGATGAGGAAGAAAAGCAGCGTGAGCCACAACATAGCTAGAAGGTGCTTCCCATCCATCCCCATCCCCTCTTGCTGAGCATCACTCCACCCGGGCGTGAACAGACTTGATGCTTTGCAATTGCCTATGGCCAGGAAAGCCCACACTCTGCAGAGGAGGCTGAAACTCCCAACAGGCTGCAGTTGAGGGACATAAGTTGACTTGGCTGTCACCTTTCCCTCTGAAAACCAGTGGTCCTGCAGTTGCCCACTATGGGAACATAGCTGCTGAGAGATCCTCCAGAGCAGTTAGGACAAACAGAAGGTAGCTTTAGGTTAGATATAAGGAAGTTCTTTACTGTGAGGGGGGTGAGGCCCTGGCACAGGCTGCCCAGAGCAGCTGTGGCTGCCCCCTCCCTGGCAGGGTTCAAGGCCAGGTTGGACGGGGCTTTGGGCAACTGGGGCTAGTGGAAGGTGTCCCTGCCTGGGGCAGGAGGGTTGGAACTGGATGATCTTTAAGGTCCCTTCCAACCCAAACCATTCTATGTTTTTATGAATTTGTCCACAAAAGGCAACCGAGAATCTCCTCCCCAGGTCTCTGCCAAGCACATACTGTGTCTCTTCTTTTGAGGGATCCAGATGTTCAGATAGAGACAGTCCTCACTCCCGCGGACATCAGTTTGTGTAAGGGTCATCTGCATGCAGCGATTTTTGAATTTTTTTGTCTCCAGTGTTCCTGAGAGGAGAGAGGGAAGACAGCAGGTCCTAGTTAGAGGCATCAACTCCATCCTTTGGTTATAGGCTGTCTGTCCATCCATCCTCTCCTCTGTGAGCCCAGTGCAGAGGCATCAAAGCATCCCCCACCACTGTGACCAGTCTGAGGAAGTGACAAAGTGGGACCCTTTCCCATGTGAACTAGCTCTGGACAGCGAAGGCATGGGGAGGGGAGATGCAGGTGCCATGCTTCAGATTTGTTTCTTCATGTGGTTGAGTTGCTTGGGAACACTCAGACATAGATTCTCATACCCACCATGAGACTAAAGGTTTCTTCTTGGGGCTAGATGAAAGTAGTAGATGAAAGCAGGCACCAACATCTTTGGCTTGTCAATAATGGACTAAAGAGAGAAGTGAAAATAAAACCCCAAACCAAAGCATTCAAAAGCTGGATCTTACCTTCCCAGCCAGGATGAGGTTGTGGGTCTTCCAGAGTCCTTGGAGGGGCAGCAAAGGGGATCCCTCTGAAGATGTCGACGTAGTCTCCAAAGAGTCCCAATTTTTTACTCTCACCTTCCACAAAACCGCCCTCAGTGTACACCACACCGAGCTACATGTGACACCATGGAGAAGAGAACATCCATTGCACAATTGTTCATGCCTCTGGCATGTTCCCACCTTGCCAGCACCCACCCCTCGCCCTGGCCGGTCCCCCACACAGACTCCTCGCAGCCCGCCTTCCCCAGCCATCCCTTTGGAAAGCCCACAGGTGGGTGCTGCCGGTGATGTGCCCATGCTGCTGTTCTGCAGGCCACCCTTTGGAACAGGCAGGCAGCACCAATTCCCCTGCAGTCCCAAAGATAAAGAGCAGAAGGTGAAGACCTTCAGCCTCAAGATGTAAACCAGGCCACACCTGACACAAAACTGTGCAGGAACATTTGGAAAAATGTCGTTGAGAGCCTTTGACATGTTTAGGGCAGGAAAAAACCCTGCCTTGGCTGTCATGGTCTGCAGGGCCTTTTCCACGGGCTCCAGACCAGACATAGCGGGAGTTTGTTCATTCAGGCAGGGACAGACAAAATGTCTTGCAAAGCCATAAGAAGTGCTTTTGTACTTACGGTTGCAGCCCATGCTACCCCAAGATAGGAGCACAGGGCAAATCCCAGGATCTGCCAGCGAGCCATGGTGAGTGCACACCCAAGGGGTCAGTCCCAGGTGGAGGCTCATGTATATATAGGTAGGAGTGCAGCTGTGTGTCAATGCCATCACCCAGTCTTGGCTATAAAGTAAGCCAGAGGAGCCTCTACAGACTTGTCCTTCAGCAGGCTGAGGCCAAACCAGGGCTGAGGTAGACTTGTGTCACTGTGTGAGAGCCCTGCAGATGTTGCTTTTGTGGGCTGGAGGCCAAACCTAAGGAAATACCTCAGTCTAACAAAACTCAGAGAACTGAAGCCTTGAGAAGCCTCACACAAGTACAGGAGGCTGAAATCATATTAAACCAGGCATTAGGGCCTGTTATCGGCCAGTAACGAGAAACCTCGCACTTGTAACACACTGGGGAATGCACAAGACTCAGCAAATGCCAGCAGACCTTGAACTTCTGTGACAGGGTGAAAACAGTCCAGCCAGCAATGGCAGACTAATGGCCAGAGTGGGCAACCTCTGTGGACCTGAAGCTCTGCCCCACTGCCTGCTCCCTTCAGTCCCTGCTAACCACTGGGGAAGTCAGAACAGAACTGAGACGTGCATCAGCCAGTGAGGACAACATACACTACATCCCGCAAAAGGGAATTACTCGCTGCCAGAAAGTGTTTTTTCCTGCTGGCTTTATTTCCAAGATGGCCAGCGAGGCTCAATGCTGAAGTCACAGCACACTATTTTCATTCCCCTTAGACAAGCAGAAGGGCAGCACCTGCCCGAGGGACCCAGCAGCATCGAGAGCTTCCCCCAGCACCGCCTCGGGCACCTTTGCTCTGTCCCACACGGCCACCAACCCGGCCAAGGCGCACTTCCCACCATGGAGAGATCTGGGAAGGCAGCTTCTCCTCCTCTCAGGTGTGCTGCCAGCTGGTCTGGATTCTGGGCTCGCCCTTGGGAGTTTGCTGAGCTTGCCTGAGGGCTTATTAGCCAGCAGTTATGACAATGGAGGCAATGGCTCCCTAACATCAGGAACGGTGGCCATCAGCAGTGCAGACGGGTCATCAGCATCTTAGAGCAAGTTCTGCCTTCCCACGGCCTGGCTGTGGTGGCTGAACCCTCAGCACTCAGGGAACAGGGGCAGAGATGATTCTGTCCTACAGCAGCCAGGCTGCTCACTGAGTTCACACATAGTTCACGTTTCACTCCCATCAGAAGGCTTGAAGTCCTCTTCCTCCTCCTCTTTATCATCCTCATCTTCTTCAGATTCACATGCCAGCTGCTCTTTGCCATCTTCACTGCTTGTTTAACCACAAAAAGCCCTTCTGCTGGCACAGCATACCTTGCTTCTTGACAGTGATGGGCAGACTGTAGTTATACATGCTGCGTTTTGCTTTCACAGGCATATCATTGGGGGCATAACCTAGAGGTGAAAAAAGAAAACCAATAATGAACTGAGGGCAAGCACCCTGCAGAGTATCCCTAGCTCAGTTACAGAAGTGCTGGACTGGTGTGTGAATGGCTGATCCTTGGGGTACGGTGACTTCAGCAAGATGGGGAGAAGTAAGAGATCCACAAAACCGTTTAACTTGGAAATAGGGAGATGTGATCTGATGGCACTGACTGGATGCCAGCTGTCAGGGACTTATCAGATGACCTCGAACCCTGTGTCCCAAGGTCTGAGACCTGGCATCCTGCACAAGATGTAGAGAACCAGGAACACCCAGCTGATGCCCCCTTGCTTTGCCTCCTGGCAGCCTCAGACAGGCAGGAGCGCAGATGTACAGACTTACCATGTAATAGGCCAAGTACGGCAACAGAAGTTTCAGCTTGTCTGGGTGGACACTGATATTGGCTTTTACTGCATTCCGAGACCAGACAGGACGGACTTCAAATACAGAAGCAACCATGGAGCTGAACACAGCAGTCTCAGTGATGTCTACTGAGACTTTTATACCAGTCAGACTTCATATTTCCCGTTGTTATCCTCAGACAAATAATGTCCATCCAGCAGCCAGTCTACTCTCCAAAAGGGCTGGAGAACTCTGCGGAAGTCACATTGTAAAATTTGTTTTCAGAACACGGGCAGCTCTAAGGAAGAAAATTTCATAGCCCTCAGTGGCATTTCAGATACATGCCACTCACTTCCCTGACGTGACATTGTCATGCCTTGACAAATTTTTATCCCATCCATCATTTCAAGGGCAACTGCAGTTGTTCAGGTCACCAAATCTTCCTGTATCCCTGGCAGAATATGCCAGTACAGCCTTTCTCATTTAATAGATTAGAGAACAGAAAAAGCAAATGTGTGTTTTTCTAAGGGCACAAAGAGCAGCTGATATCAAACGAGAGCGGAACCCAAATTAGGGTTTCTGGCCTAATTCACAGGCCCATATCTCACTTGTTAACAAGGTTAAATGGGAATTGCAATCACAAAACCTTCAGAGAAACCAGCAATAGTTACAACCACAATTTTTGGCAAGGTCTGCATGCCCAGCTCGAGTAAGGCACGTACCTTTCTCAGCTCTTCCTCCACCTTTTTATCCACAGGATTGGTGCACACTTTCTTCCAGGTCTGTACAGCAGCATCCAAAGGTTTTGCTGGGATTTCTTCATCATCAAAGTTCACAAAGATAGCGTTGTGCGGGCGACGGGCCCTGCTGAGGCCAATCAGGTTCTCACCTGGGGATTGTTGTATCCCTCCCTAAGAAACAGGGAAAGGATCGGGTTTGCTTTCTGCCTGTGGCATGTATGGATTTGGGGCCTTCAAGGGATCATGCAAAAATGGAAATTTGTGCTCCAGATTTCAGAACAGAAGGGACTCAGCCATGTGAGCAGGGAGTTGGTTTAACTTTGACCCCACCTCCTTATCACATACTGGTGACCATAATGAAGACTCTTGTGACACCACAAGAAGGTGAGGGAAGAAAATTTAAACTTTAAAAAACCTGTCAAACCACATCCAGCTGCACAGTGACCCCTGGACCATTGGACAGAAGACCCTCAGGCACTTGGCTACTAAGCTGCACAAAATGCATTTGCAGCACAAAAGGCTTCAGCCTCTGCATTTGCTCTCCTGTGGTTACTGCAGCTCAGCAGGGTACAGGGACAAGGCAAGATGGAAATGCAGTTGAGATAATATTTGTTTGTCAAGTGCCGATGAAGGCCTACAGTGAGAAAATGAAAGATGTTTCCTGTGGGAGATCCCACAGATTGTTCTTCTGGCAAAAATAACCGGGGCCAGGAGGGAACAGGGCCGGTGAGCG